AAATATATAAAGAAAAATTCATGGACAGCACCAGTTTCTATAGCTGTACCAGATATAAACTACAAATATACAAAAATTTATGTACACATGTACAAAAAAAACATTCATGAAGAGCATCCGTTTATATAGCTGTACCAGATATAAACTACAAATATACAAAAATTTATGTACAAATATACAAAAAAAAAAATTCATGAAGAGCATCAGTTTCTATAGCTGTACCAGATATAAACTACAAATATACAAAAATTTATGTACAAATATATAAAGAAAAATTCATGGACAGCACCAGTTTCTATAGCTGTACCAGATATAAACTACAAATATACAAAAATTTATGTCCAAATATATAAAGAAACATTCATGAAGAGCATCAGTTTCTATAGCTGTACCAGATATAAACTACAAATATACAAAAATATATGTNCAAATGTACAAAAAAAACTTTCATGAAGAGCATCAGTTTCTATAGCTGTACCAGATATAAACCACAAATATACAAAAATTTATGTACAAATATACAAAAAAAACATTCATGAAGAGCATCAGTTTCTATAGCTGTACCAGATATAAACTACAAATATACAAAAATTTATGTACAAATATATAAAGAAACATTCATGAAGAGCATCAGTTTCTATAGCTGTACCAGATATAAACTACAAATATACAAAAATTTATGTACAAATATATAAAGAAACATTCATGAAGAGCATCAGTTTCTATAGCTGTACCAGATATAAACTACAATTATACAAAAATTTATGTTCAAATGTACAAAAAAAACATTCATGAAGAGCATCAGTTTCTATAGCTGTACCAGATATAAACTACAAACATACAAAAATATATGTACAAATATATAAAAAAAACATTCATGGAGAGCACCATTTTCTATAGCTGTACCAGATATAAACTACAAATATACAAAAATTTATGTACAAATATATAAAAAAAACATTCATGGAGAGCACCATTTTCTATAGCTGTACCAGATATAAACTACAAATATACAAAAAATTTATGTACAAATATATAAAGAAACATTCATGGAGAGCACCAGTTTCTATAGCTGTACCAGATATTAACTACAAATATACAAAAATTTATGACAAATATACAAAAAAAACATTCATGAAGAGCATCCGTTTCTATAGCTGTACCAGATATTAACTACAAATATACAAAAATTTATGTTCAAATATACAAACAAAACCATTCATGAAGAGCATCAGTTTCTATAGCTGTACCAGATATAAACTACAAATATACAAAAATTTATCCTTGAGATTGTAGGCTTTAAAGGATATCTGGTGACTTGTTTCAGTATAAATTGAATGAAGTACCTACCTTTTTCATACAGTCATGAGCAGCACTTTGTAGGTCACTGTTAGTACTATTCAATGCTTTATATAAAATATTGAAGATTTTCTCTCTACGACTGGTATTAGGTATATAATGACAGGCAGCCAATGCTCCTAAAAATATAGTAGTGTTAACACATTGGCATTTTCTTCAAAATCGCATTTTGTCAAGCAAAAATATTAGTGCAAATAGGATAAGATTCAAATTGGAGAAGTCCATTTATAGGTAGTTTTTACGGAGCCCTTAAGGCGCAATTTTCCATACTTTTATAAAATATTTCGTTTAAAAGAAATAATTAATTCGTTTAAACTAAATAAGTAATTCATTGAAACGAAATAAGTAATTCCTTCAAACAAAATAAGTAATTCATTTAAACGAAATGAGTAATTCCTTTAAACGAAGTAAGTAATTCCTTTAAACAAAATAAGTAATTCCTTCAAACGAAATAAGTCATTCCTTTAAACGAAATATGTCATTCGTTTAAACGAAATAAGTCATTCGTTTAAACGAAATAAGTAATTCATTTAAACGAAATAAGTAATTCATTTAAACAAAATAAGTAATTCATTTAAACAAAAAGTTATTTCGTTTAAACAAATTAGTTAGTTTGTAATAGCAAAATAACTAATTCGTTAAAACGAAATATTTGATAAAAGTAGGGAAAATTGCGCATAAGGGGCCCCGTAAGTTTCAGTATAAATGAACATATTGGATTTTCTGTCTCTTTTTGACAAAAATGGTTGACCAAAACTGTTCATGTGCCCAAAGCATTATACAGTTTTAATCAAAATATATCTTTCCTCAAAATAGAATAAATTGCTCTTGGGTATGTTAAATGACTGTGTTCTGCGGCCGAAAAATCAAACTTACTTATCGCACTTTTTCTTAAGGTAACTAGATTTGTTACGTTTTTATAACAAGGTAACTTTAATAAACTGGCATCTTCTGCTTCACACAGATTTTGTAACTGAAAAAAATAAAAATCATCGTACATCAATTGAAAGATTTAGTGGAAATTTCTGGCTTGGAGAGGTGCAAATCATTGCCATCAGTTACCCTAATACACATAAAGATAGTGGACCACAGCCATATACGCCCACCACGGCATGCGGATGGTAAATATTCAAGATTTTGTGGCAAGGGCAATAACTGTGCTTCTAACGGTCGAAAATAGCTCAAATTCGAACTTGATCTTCGTTTTATGAATATGTATACACATACCGAATTTCATTTGATTCCATCAAACACTCTAGTTTTTAGAGTGTTTACCAGCAAATGTTGACGGACGGACAGACCTTCGTTTCATGAATATGTATGCACATACCGAATTTCATTTGATTCCATCAAAAAATCTAGTTTTTAGAGCATTTACCAGCAATTGATGTTGATAGAAGCACTTACTGTTTAGAGGTTAAAGGGCGATAACTCCTTAAAACTGACGTAAGAGGCCTAAATCTTGAAAAAGCCTTAAATTTAATCAGAAGTGAACTAAACTTTCTCAAACCTTTCGATTTAGGTCCAATAACATCCATTTTAAGTTTCATCAAAATCGGTTGAAAACTAAGAGAGTAATTAGCATATTCAAGATTTTGGGGCAAGGGCAATAACTCTGCTTCTAACGGGGACAGGGGTGCCAACAATATACGTCCACATAGAGAGATGTGAGCAATAAAAAGCGTAGAAAACCCTCTTTACAATCCCTTTAATTTCGTTGTAACTGTTGATGGAATTGACAACTGGACAAAAATGGTGAGGTATGCTGGTTTCAATTCTTCTTCTGAATAGTGGTAAACTTGATGTATTCATATGATATGTCTTACCTCTGTTAAAAATACATTATGTTCAGCTATAGAGACATCTATGGTAAATAATCTTGGTTCTAATGTGGTACAGAATGTATTCCCTTCCTACAATATTCAAATATCATTATTCATGAATATCAAAAATATCCAAAAGAAACTGCTTTAACTGCAAGCTGAAACAATTCTAAATATCTTTCTGGCAATTTTTTAAACACAATATGCAAGGCCATACAAAATAAATAGTCTGTTTTACAGGCTCAAAAATACCTGATTGTTGCCTTAATATTAAATGTACATTAAATTTGTGGTAATAAATAATAAATGCTTTCACTCGCTCCGATTTATTCCAGTTGAAAATCTAAAAAAGCGCTTATAAATAATAAAGAATAAATTCGCCCTCTCGCCCCGATTGTTGAAAAAAAAAGGCCTGTAAAACAGACTATTTATTTTGTATGGCCTTATAATAGCATGTATTTCACCTCCTGGATTAGACTGAGGGCCTAGAAGAGTCACAAACTCACTAGGAGAGCCTAATTTTGCACAAGAGTGTGGGCACCATTTGATCTGAGGACCAAGATATGCATTAGATGAAGTATTTGACACTGACTGATTAACCCTTTGAATAATGAGAATTAATAATATACTCTGAACTCCAAGTAAAAGGATATACAGCAAACAACATCACTCTCGTAGGTGGGTGACCGCTTGAAACCTAGTATATGCCATATTTGGTCATTTCAACTTTTTGATACCATTCGAAAGCTCGTAAAAGCGCAGATCTTGTGATCAAAACCTCGTATTCTTAGCTTGATTGTAAATAACTCAAAAAGCACTAATTAAATAACACGTATATAAACAGTCAGATTTAAAACCTTGTAAAATATATCATTATACGAGGTTCAATGTTCTTTTTTCTGCAGATGAAAATGAAAAACCTTGTATACTGTATTATTATACAAGTTTTTGGTTCAATAGGCCGGAGATCTCAAATTGTTATACAAAGTTTATATTTTCAAAGAATGAAAACCACGTACAGCGGTAAAAAAAAGATTTTAACAAAATACGCGTACAAATAGTTTTTTGCATTTTTCTCGAAAAGTAATTCAGCGTCATATATTGTTATACGAGGTTTCAAACGGTCGACCACGATATACCACTAAAATATATGGCCATTGGATTGGCCGCTAGGTTTAAAATGATACAGATTGAAATATGCTTATGCTTACCATGAGACCAATCTGAGCATTAAATGGCTGATGACGTAATAAATGTTTTCTAGGTGGAATCATGTCTTGCAATACTTCTTTATGTGGTTCCATTATTTCTGTGACTGATTTCCCTGTAGTTTCTGCCAGCAGTTTTAATGAGGACATGGCCTAATTTCAAATAAATAATATTAAAAATCAACAACAAAAAACATATCCGAATGAACAAAATGGTGCCAAAGGGGACAATGAGCAAGCCATATAATTATGTTGGCACAAAAGAATTGAACCTGATTGGTAGATGGACAGCGAACCGAAAATTTGATAATTAAATGACAAAAGACTACCTGTACATAAACTATAACTGATACGTTTTCTCACACTCTAAAAGATAGTGGACCACACCCATATACGCCCACCACGGCATGCGGATGGTAAAAACGAAACATCCATTTCAAGTTTCATCAAAATCGGTTGAAAAATAAGAGAGTAATAGGATATTCAAGATTTTGGGGCAAGGGCAATAACTCTGCTTCTAACTGTCGAAAATAGTTCAAATTCAAACTTGATCTTTGTTTCATGAATATGTATACACATACCGAATTTCATTTGATTCCTTCAAACACTCTAGTTTTTAGAGTGTTTACGAGCAATTGATGTTGATAGAACCACTTACTGTATAGAGGTTAAAGGGCGATAACTCCTAAAAACTGACGTAAGAGGCCTAAATCTTGAAAAAGCCTTAAATTTAATCAGAAGTAAACTAAACTTTCTCAAACCTTTCAATTTAGGTCCAATAACATCCATTTAAGTTTCATCAAAATCGGTTGAAAACTAAGAGAGTAATAGCATATTCAGGATTTTGGGGCAAGGGCAATAACTCTGCTTCTAACAGTCGAAAATAGCTCAAATTCGAACTTGATCTTCATTTTATGAATATGTATACACATACCAAATTTCATTTGATTCCATCAAAAAATCCAGTTTTTAGAGCGTTTACAAGCAAATGTTGACGGACAGACGGACGGACAGTGGTGCCGACAATATAAGTCCACATAGAGAGATGTGGGCGTATAAAAAGTCTACAGACATACAGAAAGTTTGATGATAAAATTACTATACCTGTTCTCGAACTAGATTATTAGGTGAAGAAACCTGGTATACCAACTCAAATGTGACATCGTGGAAAGATTTCTGTTGGGCTTGTAAGAGTTCATCATTAACGATATCCCTGTCAATTTCTTTACAACATAATCTTAACATGTTTTCTAGGTTAGACTTGGCTAAATCTACAGCTCCACTAGATACCTGTATAACAAAACATAGTCATCATTCAACAACTGTGATGCAGTTTGAAGGTGCTGACATGGAAATTAAAAGAGTAGGCTACTGCATCTGTCCTTGCAAAATTTCCCTCATTGAATACTACATGGTGTTTAGAAAACATAGGACATTAAACAATATTCCAATTTTGATTTGTCATCAGCAGAGTGACATTTGATTTAGGTACCAAACTCCAAAGAGATACTTAGTTGATAACGTAAGTCACATAGTGATTGGTAATCATTGCAACAGAGCTCAAGATTACAAATGTCAAAGTGGCATCAGGTGTTCCAGTTATCATTGCAATGGAGCTCAAATTCAATAAGGCTACATGCAAGTGGATTCATCAAAAAAAGATGTAGAGTTGACAAACCCAGTAGCAGAATGATAATTATATGAGAAAAGCTCAAATTCAGCTTGATTAAAGATGGGTTCCCTTATTTTTATTTATCTAAATAAAAATGCTAATACTTATATGAATATAAAGTAGAGGTGTTTTAATGACTTGGAAAAATACTAGTTTGTCTCACATGTCCATAATTAATTCATAATTAATTCATAATTAGCTGAATTAGAAGAGAATTACCAGCAGAATTCCAATGAGTGACAGATCAAGAAAAGTCAAAAAGTCATTTTTTGTTTATCCAGACTGTATATACATGGACATTTATGATTAAAGTTAAAACTCTTAATTATATGCAATAAGAACATAATGATATGATTAAGAATACATGATAATTCATTAGAAACACCAATTAATCAAATAGTTTGCTTAATTTGACACTAAAAAATACGGAAACCCATCTTTAAAGCTTGACTTTACTAATGAGCTCAATAAATATATATATAATTAATTTAGTGTTGTTAATTTTTAAAAATACAAGCCTACCTCTCCAGTTAAATCCATCATGACAAACAATAAGGCCTTTAAGAATAAAAACTGTTTTTCTAATACCCATTTTAAAGCCATTCTTTCATACAGAAACTTGATAGCTAAACATCTGAAATCATAATATATATCACATTACTGGCAGCTACGGAGCCTCTAACGCGCAATTTTCCATTCTTTTATAAAATATTATCTTTTTAACAAAATAATTAATTCGTTAAACGAAATACTCGATTAAACAAACAAAGTTATTCGATTAAACTAAAAAAGTTATTTGATTAAATGAAATGAAAAATGTATTTCGTTTAAAAGAAATAATTAATTCTTTAAAATAAAATGAAATAATATTTTATAAAAGTAAGGGACCCCTTAGGAAGCTTAACCTCAAAAACACATTTTTAAATTGGTAAAGAAATTGTTCAAAACAATCAAATAAAAGAAAAAGAAAGAAAAAGGAAAAAAAAGAAAAGAAAAAAAAAAAAAAAAGAAAAGAAAAAAAAGAAAAGGAAAAAAAAGAAAAGGAAAGAAAAAAAAGAAAGGGAAAAAAAAGAAAA